CCTTTAACGATTGGCCGGAATTGGACAAACCACGGGCGCACGCGTTTCGGCTGATACTAGCCTTGTGATGACGCTACCTGAAATTGCTTGCGCTACCGCCTACACACTCGGCCACAGTTAAAGATTTGACACCTAGCGTCAGGTAAGGTCATGTTTTGTAGCAGTCACTAGTGTTTTATGATACACAAATTGCTTTAATATGATGATTTAGAAGACCGTTTATAGGACATACGCGGGCTTCTAGTAAATTCCCATCAGGCCGGCACATTTATATGGGAACGAGGTACAGAGTTTAGCGTGAGAACGACTAGAAAAATCGACTACGATTTGTCTTTTCACAGAGGCAGTGTAAATGAGTGGAAGGGGGAGAGGAGACAGTAACTGGCCGGGGGGTATAGGTTGACTCATGTCTCAGAGGAAAGGAGGGGGACGAGGCCGAGGTAGCAGTTAATCGACCATTGGCTACGGTAGACGTGGAGAGTGCAAAAGGCTCTTCTGCGCGCACAGGACCGACCTCTCTAGCCAAATGGCAGTCGCCTCTGCTGCTGCTAGTATGCGCTGGACCAGTTGAATTGAGTAGTTAGGTGGATTTTTGTTTTTCTGACCCGCCTGGTACCTGAAATCCCGTGGAGCGTATACGCACACGACCCTTGTCATCATTACCACAGCAGCAGGCAGAGAAAACACGGCCGGTCACGGGAAGTGTAGTAGAAAAACACAGCAAGTCGCGACTAGCTGAAAGATGACGCATATTTATAACACCCTGCCGTGGTTTGCCGGCATTCGACCCAATTACTTTCGGGAAGAGGGAAGTTGCCAATCGAGAGGCCCCCGACTAAGATGACAACGCTGTACAGAGAGTAAACGCACGTGATCTCCTGTGATTGGTTGGCTCTTGGGTTTGGGAGTGTAGGCGCTCCTAACACTTCCCGTTTAAGTAGGTCATTACCGCTTTCGCGTGGACTGATCTGCATCGGCAGTGTTGATTGGCGCACGTGGTTGGTCCGGCATATCAGTCATGGTTTTTTGTCTGAAGACACGAGGGCAGTGACTGATAGCGAAGACGGTACATCCGAAGGAGGCGCAGCAGTGGGTTCGGGAACCTACCAAACTGCCGGAATCCCGAAGGTATCTAGTAAAATGTCAAGAAAGGGAGACGGCACCGACTCGAGCCCGGTTATGTTACTGCAATGTCGCCGTCTGATCTGGTTGTGGTGACGAACCCACATGTCATCACCAACGTCGACATCAAGCAACAGACTGCCTCTGTGCGCTACTATGTTTGCCTCAATCCAGTCTGGGAAACCAGCTGGATAATCACGAATGAAGACAGGTATTACGACGGAAAACGTGCTGCCAGAGACTGGAGAAGTCTGCGTGGGTTGAACACCGGTAGGAACGAGTTTATGAAACTTTGTACGCAGTTTTCTGCCCATCAAAGCTTCGGCAGGAGAAACGCCACCAGGGAACGCTAGGTTCGGTGTTGTCCTGTAGAAAAACAGGAACGCCTGGACTATCTAGTCCGCGATCCCCTTTCCACGAGCTTTCAAGAGAGCTCTCTTAAACGTGTCGACAAAACGCTCCGCCTGACCGTTAGACTTAGGATGGTAGGGTGGGGAGCGAAGATGCCGGATGTTGTGCAGACAGCAGAAATACTCGCACGTCGACGAAGTAAACCGAGAGCCATTATCTGAAACCAGGACTTACGGTAAGCCATGTTGACCAAAGTTGCGTCGTGGGAGGACGATAGTGGCAAATGCGGTCGCTGGATTCAGCGGAGCAATCTCGGGTCACTTCGAGTAGGCGTCAACCAAGATTAGGTAGGGGACTCCGTTAAGTGGGCCAGCGACGTCGATATGCACGCGTGCCCAAGGCCTCTCCGGTGGTTGCCAGGGTACAGGCGGTTGACTAGGCGACATATTGGCAGCTTGCTAACATCGATAACAGCGTCGAACCAGGTCGTCGATGTCGCCGTCGATACCCGGCCAGTAAGCAAAACTGCGAGCAATAGACTTCATTCGGCTGGCACCAGGATGAGCCGCATGGAACTGGCGTAGTACAGTGGGTCGGAGGGAAGATGGGATCAGCACTCGGTCCGCAAACATGAGGCTGGAGTCAACCACAAATAGTGATTCTTGGCGAAGGAAGAGCTGGCGAAGATCGCCAGCGAGAGCAGTGGCTGGTCAGCAGGTTTGCACGTACGTGATTGACCGATGGAGGACAGGATCCTGTTCAGTAGCACGTCGGATGTCCGCGGAAGTGACAGGGATACCTCGTATAGCGTCTGATAGCTGACGGCGCGAATCGTCTTCAATCGAAATGGCCGCAATCGCGGTGTCTTTCTCAGGTTCCTGCTTATTGCTGATAAGGCCAGTAAGGGTGCCAGCCTGACCAAAGTCTGTAGTACGACAGTAGCGAATGTCGAAATCGTAGCCAAGAAGAATGGTCGCCCGTAGGGGGAGGAGTCTGTGGGATAAGGGAAGACGCGCGGTTTTGGGCGTAAATGGAGTCTGGGAAATAGCAAGTGGCAATGTGCCAAGTGGAGGTTGTTCGGTTGGAGAAGTTGAAAGAGGCTCGTTATAAGCCGCCATCAAGTGATCGATTGAGACCACGTCGGTGCGGCCTCCACGGCCAATTGTAAAATGCTTGTCCTTGCGCGATAGTACTCGAAATGGGCCGTCATAGAGCTGTTGTAGTGGCTGGCGAACGCAATCTACGCGGACAAATACAAAAGGACATGTTAGTAAGTTCGGATCGACGTACGACTTACTTGTTGAAGGACGTGGAGGAGTGGCTCGAAGATGAGTCATGGCTTGGCGGAATCTTTGCACATAATCGCTGGGATCCAAGTCGCCTGAGCTTTTAGAGTAACGGAAAAAATCAACAGGAATCCGTAGGGTGGTACCGTAGACAAGTTCGTCAGCGGAACACTCCAAGTCGGGCTTGAATGCGGTACGGATACCGAGCATGACCAAAGGCAGATGCTCGCTCCAATGGGAAGGGTTGTCATGAGCTCGGAGCAAGGATTTGATTCACCGGTGGAAACGCTCGACTAAGCCGTTGGATGAGGGGTGATATGCTGTCGTGCGTATGCGAGAACATCCAAAGAGGTTGGTAAGGCTGTTAAAAAGTCTAGACTCGAATTGTTGACCTCGATCGGTGGTAATAGTTGAGGGAACGCCATAATGAGAGATCCAGTGTTCCAAAAAATTATGAGCAACGGAATCGGCAGTTATGTTAGGTATGGGAGTTGCAATGGGCCAACGAGTAAATCGGTCAATCGCAGTAAGTAAGTAGTTGCAACCACGAGCTGTTGGAAAGGAACCTACCAGATCAATATGGACATGTGAAAAACGTGCGTCGGGTGCGAGAAAAGTGCCAATGGGGGCTTTGTTGTGCCGTCCGACTTTGGCCTTCCGACAGGCCAAGCATGAACGGGTCACTGGCGGATATCAGTTGTTGTGCTTGGCCAAACGAACCGCTCGCTGATGAGGCGCTGGGTAGTGCGGATGCCAGGGTGAGCAAGATTGTGCAACGCGGCAAAAACATCTCGGCTCATCTCGCTTGGCACTACGGGTCGGGGGGCACCGCGCGATACGTCACACAAAATTGTACCGGGGGTGGTGGAAAGAGGAATGGCTTCGAGTTGAAGACTAGTGTGTTGAAGGCTCTCCCTGAAAGACGGCTGATTTTGCAGTTCTGCCATGCGCTCTAAATCGATGGCAAAGGGGGGTGATGGCATTAATGCCAAGCCGAGAAAGACAGTCAGCAACTTGATTATAAAGGCCTTTAAGAAATCGAATGTCGGTGGTATACTGAAACAAAATCGAGATGGCGGGCCTCGCGGGGTGAATACTTGTCAGAAGAAGTAGAGAGGGCACAATTAAGAGGCTTGTGGTCAGTATAAATACAAAAATCTTGGCCCTCAATATAATTACGAAAATGCTTAATGGCTAAATAAATTGCAAGCAGTTCTCTACCAAAAGTGCTATAGCGAGTTTGTGGGGGTGTCAATTTGGCAGAGTAGAAAGCCAAGGGCTGGGTGCCAGTGGGCGTCTGTCGCTGAAGGGCAGCACCTATAGCGAAATTAGAGGCGTCGGCCACAATGGAAAGTGGGGCATCAGGTATAGGGTGAACAAGGACAGTTGTCTCCGCAAGAGCCTTCCTCGCACGATTGAAAGCCTCTACAGCTGTGTCAGGAAAAGAAAACTCGCGGTTGTTTAGTAAGTGGTAGCATTAATTGAGCACAATGAGGGATGAAACGTCGATAGAAATTGGCAAGGCCTATAAAACGGCGCAACTGTTGAAAAGTAGTGGGAGTAGGGAAATCGCGAATAGCTGAAACTTTGGCATCTATGGGATGACAACCAGAAGCATCTACGCGATGTCCTAGAAAAAACAGTGATTGTGCGCCCAAAACGCATTTAGAAACATTAATGAAAACGCCAAATTGGCTCAATCATTCAAAAATGAGACGCAAATGTTGTAGGTGCTCCTGATCACTGGAACTTGCTACCAGAACATCGTCGCCGTAGACAAAAACGAAAGGTAGATCGCGGAGGGCTTCGTTGATGAAACGTTGAAAAGTTTAGGCGGAGTTGCGTAGCCCAAAAGGCATCCTGACAAACTCGAACAGACCTAACGGTGTTGTAATCGCCGTTTTGGGAATGTCTTCTGGAGAAACGGGTATCTGATGAAAAGCTTTGACTAAGTCAATGTCGGAAAATATTGTTGCTCCGGCTAGGCTAAATGAAAAATCGTGAAGATGGGAAAGTGGATGCCGGTCAGGCACGGCGCAGGTCTTTAGCCGTCGGTAATCCCTGCATGGACGCCAGTCAACGAGAGACTTTTTGCACACCATATGTAGAGGTGCAGCCCATGGACTAGCGGAAGGCCTAACCATGCCTCGCTCCATCATGTGACTGAATTCAGCCTTGGCTATGGCTAACTTATCGGCGGCTAAACGACGGGGGCGGCTAAACACGGGTGGTCCAGTAGTTGAAATATGAGGTACAACAGAATGCTTGATAGGTTGGTTAAATTGTGAAGGTCGTGTGATAGATGGAAATTCCGAAAATAAACGATGATAGGGAGTAGACGAAGGGATTGTTGAAATGCGTGGATTAAGTGATGATAGGGGACGAGTGGAACAATTACAATGTAAAGAAGTCTTAGGATCAAATAATTTATGGGACTTAATGTCAACGAGGAGACCGAAAAGGATATAAAATCAGCGCCAAGAATGGCAGTATGGACATCAGCGATAGTAAATAGCCAACGAAATGAACGTCTTAAACCCCAATCTAGTGTTAGGGATCGCTGGCCAAAAGTTTTAATAGAAGTATTGTTAGTTGCTTGGAGGAAACATGAAGAGTTTGGTAACTTACGGTCAGTCAAGGTGGGTGTGATTAGAATGATCTCCGCACCAGTATCCACGAGAAAATTACGACAGGAAGTTGTGTCATAAATGTGGAGTAAGCAACTTGGAGAGGATGTGAAGACCACGTTCGTCGCCCATACTGGTCGGCAGGGGAGTTTTCCGACGCGGGTGTTTTATACTTGCACGGAGAGTGGCAGCGATGGGCGTTAGAACCATAATTGTGATGATATCAACAGAAACCATCAACTGTAGGTTTGTTTGGAGTGGGAGATCTCGGGCGGCGAGAAATTGCAGGACTACGAGGGTTATAGACACGAGTGGCCCGGAGCTGGGAAACTTTGAGAGTGAGGGCACCCAGGCGTTTGACGACATCCTCGATTGTGGGGGCAGTTGTGCTTCGACTAGCGACGTTTACCGTAACAGGAGGCTTGTAGTACTCGAGTATACGGTCAGCAGTCTCCGCGAGCATCTGAACAGTCGATGAAGGAATGTTAGGCGCAAGGATGGCTTGCACAGAAGGAGGCAACCGTTGGAGGAAAAGTTGCTTGAACATGGTGGCACCCAGCTTTTGTCCGTCTGCCAGCTGCTCCAAACGCCTAAGAAGCTGCGTAGGCTTCCTGTCACCGAGGTCTTCCTCAGAAATTAAACTTTGGAGACGTTTTTGCGTTGAGAGGGAAATGTGGGAAATACGAGCCTCCTTTAGGGCAGTATAAGGGGCTTCTGGTGGCGGGCAATCTATGATGTCGCGGAGGTCGGTGGCGATGTCCATTGGGAGTGCTGCCATAACATAGTGAAATTTCGCATCCTCTCGTGTGATCTGACGGAGGGTAAAACGGGACTCTACAGTGCGCAGCCACAACGCGATGTCACCGTGCCACACGGATGGCAGGTCAAAGGTGTGAATGCCGGCTATCGGCTGGCTGGTAGAATCGCTGGACATAATTAGCCGGGGTCGGTCAGAGGTCAGATAAATGGGGTAGATGACTGGCGCGTTGACAGCGAAATTGAAGGGTAGCGCTCGTATTGGATGAAAGGGTGAGACAGTGTGAATAGCAAATAAGGGCTAGATGAATCATCTGATCGATAAAAATTAGAGTGAGGTTTAATCCGAATGGAAATAGTTATGCACAGAAATTAAACAGAAGGAGCTATGAACGATACAGGGTCACCAGTGTAAGAGACAAACCCGCTAGTTGGGCACAGTGAGTAGGCTATCCGGTAAACAAAAATAGCAGTATCCCAACAATTACAAACTAGTAAATAAGAACAAAGTCGTCAGCAGGTAAAAGTGAACGTGCGTGTTCTTTTGCCTTATTCAAAGTTGTGTCAAAGCGTATTGTAGCTGATTAAAACAAAACTGACTTGAATATCACTATACATTCTTGGAGGCAGGCATCCGTTGGATGGCCCAAATGCTTTCAGGATCTGGATGGCGACCGACGACCTTAAAAACGAATCCCAGGTACGTGATGGAGTCGAGAAAGAATTTGCACTTGTCGGCCGCAGCCTGAAGCCATATTCTTGCACACCTTTGAGCACCTCGCACACTCGGTCTTGCAGCTCGGCAGGGGAGCGCCCCACGATGATTTCGTCCAGGTACACATCTGTGCCAGGGATGCCGGAGTGCATTGTGTTCATCGTTTGTTGGAATAGGGCCGGGGCGGTCTTGACACCAAAGGGCATCCTGGTATATTGGAACAGACCGCGGTGGGAGTTGATGGCCAACAATTCGCGCGAATCTGGGGCGACCTCGATCTGAAAGTACGCATCAGTGAGATCCAATTTGGCAAAGCAAGTGCTACCATTCAACCGGGTGAAAAGATCAGCCGGAACAGGCAGTGGATAGATCTGTTTATGTCTTTAGTTCCACCTTTCCTCAGCCATTCCATCAAGTGTTCGCGTATTCTTGTGGATAGGCGTCCACTTGTGCAACCAATATAATCCGCACCACAGTAACGAGTAATGGGGTAAATAGACATGGAGGTGGTCTCTGATGGTGGCCTATTCTTACCTCCCTCGTGTCAGACGCAGTTGGTCAATAACACTACCCGAACGCTACCTGTCGAACGGCGTTTTCTAGCCCTTTGCCCTTAACAACGAACTAGTTCAAGTTCCTGTTGAAGAGGTACGAAACTGCAGATGTTAGTACATGGTCAAAACCAGGTTTCTTTTGGATATACGCTACTTCGAACGCTACCGACAGCTCTTCTGCTTTGAAGGACGTCTAAGGCAGAGGGTCTACCGTTGCTTCCTTCATCGTAAACCTGGTCGACGAGTGTGCTTGATCTACGGCACCTAGGAGGGCGGTTACGTTGGTTTCTCTAGTGGCAATTACGGAGATGTCGTTAACGTAGCGACCACAGTAAATTGACCTAGTGATGTAGTCTTTTGACTGGCGGTCCTCAAGGACGATAATTTGTAGCATCCCAAGATAGATCGTTAGCCAGTGCCTTACGGGAATGGTCGTAATTTGGTTTTTAGGGGTGAAACTGCACGCGCGTGGGATGGAAGGTTAAATTCAAGGATTTGCAGTAAATAATTTAATTTCCGTCGTAAGACTTAACGTGCACTGCTACATAAAAACGGGAA